GTGACTCCAATGGTTTTTTTTTTATCCGTTTAATGACTGATTTAACATTTGTCCTTTTTGACTTGACGCTAGAATCGTCCCATATCTGCATGATGAAGATAGATGTCACCAACCGATGTGGTCTGGCTTCTTCCTAATGTTCCTGCTCCCAGTCACAGGATGCAACTAACCACAGTCACTGTTTATCTCCTCATTCTTTTGTCTTTATTTTTCCAGTTATTTTTCCAGTTTATGTATCAATAGGACAGTATTTCCAACTAGAGAAGAAGAGGAATCACTCTTGGCTTGTCCCTTAATCGGTGGCTGTCACAGTGGTATCCGGTATATTGCCAAGATACTATTTTTTACTACGGTACGTAACATAATGCAAAGAACCATAAAAGGCTTCAACAACAAAAGAACTGCCGCCACCATCATGATAAAGCCAGAGGCCACTTTACACAGAGGGAGGATCTTCAGATAAAGGCCAGCATGTGAACGTTAGCCATACGCGTCTGACAGCATGTAGCAAAAACACAGAAAGTCTTTGCATCGAACGCTATGTGTGGGTCTCTATCATCAGATAAAATCACACAGGATATGTGGTCAACAATTCGGCGGGTAGACGGTAGACGTTTTTGTGAACTAGGTTTGATCCTCGTTGGGTTCTCTATTGTTGTGGGCGGGCTAATGGTTACACATTGTTCTGATTTTTCAACAAAAAAAAATGGCAACACACAGGGTTGTTGACTGCTAACCCAAATTGATTGAATCATTCTTGATGATTAAATGCTATATGCTGCTAAAACTGGACAAGCAATATATAAATAAATAAGTAATCCATAAATAATTATATATTTTGTTTTCACACAAGAACAAATCAGAACATATTTTCTTGCTGCTGTTTAGATTAAACTGCAGATCTAAGAAATATATATATATATATATATATATATATATATATAAACAATAGCAGACAGTGGCTGATTTTTAGTAACATTAATTGCATCTAAAACTAACTGCATTATTAAATGTGCATTTAATAAACAATGGCACAAACAATACGTTGGTCTGAATAATTTATACTTTGTCATTAGTTTGTGAAAATGAGTTATTATGGTTTATTTTAAAGTTAAGCTTAAATGTTGCACATGATTCCTGGGCTCCTGGCCTTTAGAGAAAGACACAACACGAAATAACTACCTAACCCTTCCCTTATCTTCTCCCTCTCTCACTATTTCATCTTTCTTCAAGCCTCTCCTCTCACACTCGTACGTGTCTCGGTGTAACTCAAAGCACATTAAACATTAAATATGTTGTCAGGAGGAAGAATTCACTCTATGCTGAAGATGAAGGAGAAAGTAGGGCAGTGAGGGGAGAAGAGCTATAGAGGGTGGGGTGTAGGGTGGAGGAGGCAGTGGTAAAGATGGGGGGAAGAGAAGATGGAGGCAGAGACAGAGACACAGACGATGTAAAAAACAAAAAAAAAACAAAAAAAAAACAACAGCACATTAGTCATCCCACATTGTATTTTGTTTGTGTGTGTGTATGTGTGTGTGTGTATGTGTGTGTGTCTGGGCAGAGGTGTGAGACAGACAGGATGTGAGCTTGGACAGTGTATCCTAACTTGCCTGCTGTGGTTGAAATCAGATCCTTGAATTACACACAGAAACATGTTGGCAGGAGGAAGCGACTGTACATGGAAAATATCCGTGTCTCCCTTTCGTTGGTTGAATACGTTTGTGTCTATCTGTAGCTAAGAAATAACCAAATGCCCACACATTTGCTTCTCTACGACTAGTTTCCATGCACTTGGAAAAGAAATAAATAAAACAAAACAACAACATCTATCCACCGCATTTAATCCATGAAACAGGAGCACTGGGAAACATAGCTGCACGCTGGCAATGGGGGGAAAAGTTTGGTGCTAGCTTAATGCACCATACAGTAGGTGGAGCCAGGAATCGAAAACCAGCAATCCTCGTCCAGATCAAACCACGGACTGCCACAGATTTAGGTGTAAAGCGTAATGTATTAAGTAGAGCTGTGGCTACAGCTTGACTGTAGCTGTGTACCAGGTTTCTTTATCCAGCTGTCTCGAGTACCTTAGGAGTGAGGATGCATGACCAGCAGTCGACCACAGACATTGAACAACTGTAAAGGCCTGTAATTCTTTCCTCTACTCTTGTCTGGTTGATAAACTTTTATGACTCTACATCATGGAAAACTGCTCTCTTCTGTTTTCTGCTCAAACACAAATGGAAAAACTTCGCTTGCTTTGAGGAAGTGGCACTAACCGCTGCTGTACCATGTAGCTTGCAAGACGGATTAGCTAATCCGGTGGTTCCCAACCACTGTGCCGTGGCACACTAGTATGCCATAGGAGATCATCAAGTGTGCCGTTGGAAATTATCGAATTTACTTAATTAGTCTGAAAATTATCATGTATTTATTACAAACAATTTCTTTTTGTAAATTTATTTAATTAGTCTGAAAATGATCATTTATTCAGTATTTATTACAAACAATTTCTTTTTGTTCACCAATGCAAACAAGTGACAGGCAGAACAATTAAACACTCTTCCGCTAGGTGGCAGCAGATGGCTATAAAACTAAAAAAAAAAAAGATTCATGACTGTTGATAAAGCTCTTGGTGAGTGGCTTTTTATTCAATCCCTGCGAGTATATCAGAGTTGTCTTCAACTAAACAGATGCAATGCAATTATTTGCATCTATATCTACTGTATATATGGAAGTTCAGTTATCTCACTTCAGTTATCCATCCATTAACTTTATCTGCAATTATTTTCCATGTTACTCTCTCTGTATCTAGGGTTATTGTATGTACAGTATGTAATATGGTAGATGGAAAAAGTGGACCAGGATATGTAACAACATTTACATTTAAGAAAAAAAAATGTCATTTTAAAAACATTAATTGAAATAACAGTAGATAATTGATATTATTTTGTACTATCATCTTTTTTTTTTTTTTTAGTGGAGTACAGCGGTTTCTAAAGCAAGGACTGGGCCCTCAACGGGGGGAATTTGTGAAGAAAAAGCCAAAAGTGTTTTGGAGCTCTAAATAAAAGGCTATGAATGTGTTGATGTTGGTGGGTTCAGTAATAGACCAATCTACAAAAGGGGGAGGGCAGCACAAAAGTGTGGGGAACCACTGGGGTGTTGTTAAGTAACACAATTTCTCTGTGTTTCTAAAATAACGTCTTTTCTGCCATGTACCGCCTCAGCTTCAGCACCATATTGACTGCTGTGAATCTTGATACTCCCCATGACCATGTGAGCAAACTCTGTTGATACTGACTGTGAATGAGTGTGTGTAAACAGAGACATTCAGCTGCTTGTGGTTTATCGCAGTCAATAGAGAGAAGCGAGGATTAAATAACCCACATACCAGTCGAGGAAATGGACCAAAATTATTCCAATTCATGATTTGAAAAATGCAAAAATAGCCCGAAAACAACAGCGATCTTTAACTACTTCGTTTCTGTTAGATGAAAGAGAAGAAGTACGGGTAGGATAATGAGGCGATATCACTTTATTTTTTATAGCTAATGGCCAGACTTATGTTAACTTTTGACTTTGTATAAATATGTTACTCTGCGTCATAGAGATCTAGTCATATATTTGAAACATTAAGCTTCTTTTTTGCATATTTTTATTTGTTATAAAATTATGTTTTGGAATATTTAGTTATATAGTTGCTTCATTAAATTCTAATAAATATCATGAAAAAATATTATACAAAAAAAAAACATTATGAAAAAATATTATACAGTTATACAAAAAAAAAAAACTATGATTCATCTCTTTGGGTTAACAATAACAACTCACGCTACAGTTACACGCAACTGGTCCATTGTTCTACTGTGAGTGAGTTTCACCCTTGTTTTCTTTCCACGCTCCATGACATTCTCCACCTCAGACCAAAGTCAACACTGCAGTCAGGTCCTGTGTATTATATACTCTGATAACTGAGTACATGTGTATGTTGTTAGGTGACTATTTTTTTTAAATAAAGTAGTTGGTGTAGGTTTGGGCCCAAACCGTTGTTTATTGGCAGTCCCATGTCTGTGATCACATACAGGGCACACACACACACACACACACACACACACAGATCGAAGGAATGGACATGGAAATCCTCACACTGAAGGGACTGCAGAGGACATAAATATGTAGCTGCCGTTGAGAACGTGCTGTTACACCGAGAGGCCAAACACGACTGTTCGAGTCCACGGACACAGTAACAGCGACGGACACCAGACATAATCACGATGACTGACTGTTTTTCATTTGCCACACTGGTATCTGGCACCGTTATTGACGCCGTGTTGGTGCCGCTGCATGTTGAATGGGTGGGTTTGGCGCACGGGGAGTCGCCCGTGAAAACCCCAACACGCACACACGCACATGTGCGTGCACGCGTACACGCACGGACACAGACAAACGCCTAGAATGACTTTAAACGGTTGCCTGTTCCACGACTTGACTGATTTCCACCTGATAGAAGACGGATGGAGGCCCAGCGGGGCCACCGCCTGAACATGCTTCAGGTGTGTGAGTGCTACCCGCAGTACGGAGACTGCGATGCTGTGTGAGCCAATTCTGCCGCAACACGCACACACACACACACACACACACACACGCAGACACACGCCGCACAGACAGACATGCTCCGGTCTGGGCGACCAAATGAATGAGCAGTCGACGAACGCCGCTGCGCCGTGCAAACGCCTGGGCGCTGCTGTTGGACGGTCCATGTGCAAACGCAACCGTGTGACACATTTCAATGAGGGACGAGAAGCGCGGCCGCGTCTGCTGCGCGGGCGTGCAGCTGCGTAAAAAAAAAAAAAAAAAAAAAAAAAAATCATTTCGAGGTGGGAGTCCTTCGATGCCTCAAAATACAATTGTTATACATGACAGGTTAAACACCAACATTAAGCAGCAAACGGACACACAGACGCACACACACGTATAAAGTTAAAGATCGCTCTACTCACGCACTGCCTCCTTTTTAGGGTCTAGGGCACTGGCGGTCTGCTGGATCTGGCCTATTTTGTTCTGAAGAACCCAGACCCGTTGGTTGGTGCTGATGATGTCGTTTTCCAGCTCCTGAAATAGGGAGCAGGCGTGCCGGGCCAGGTCGGACAGCTGTCGCAAGGTCCTGGACAGAACCACGTTACTGATGGCACACAAGTCCTCGAACAGCAGACCTTCATCGTTGGGGATGTGGTGCCTGCACAGAAGCTGCGGCTCCACAATCCTTTTGGCAAATGGCATCTTTCACGCCAGAAATGACAGGAATTGCAAGCTAAGTGAAAATTCCCTCTGCTTGGGTGAAAACGGGGGGAGGGAGACACAGACAACATCCAAATATATAAAATCCCCGCAAAAAGACGATAGAGGTTCAGGCCAAGCGCGCGTTATCCTCGGGCATCAATCCGAAGTTACCACATTCTCCTTGAGGTTCTCCATCCTGGCATGCCTTCTGGAGATCAGCCCCACTCCCGCTCACACATGCACCCGCTGTCTCTCACAAACACACACACACATACATGCACACACATACAGGAGCCAGCGAAGCTCAGGTCAGCGGTGGAAGGATGCGTGTGGAGTCTGCGATCTGGAGTCTGCGCTCCTCTGTGGAGCGTGAAGTCAGGCAGAAATGAACGGAAACAGCGCGTAGATGTTTTCAAAATAAGAGCCAGGATGTAGAATGATGAACAAGGAGAATTTATTAAAGGTAGAGGTATCAATTACCTTCGAGAGTAAACGCCATCCATCTGCAACATTGCTGTCCTCCGTTTGTATTTTCTATTTTTACTCCACTTATCACCATGCAGACTGCCACTGGGGTAACTCCTGAAAAAGCAAAAAAAAAAAAAAAAAAAGCCAGAAAGGAAGTGACTTTCCTACTACAGGTAAACAGGAATGTATTTTTAAAAACTATATATATATATATATATAATGGCCCTTTTGGTCAGCCAAATCTGAAATTATAATAAATTGATTCACTGAAAGTTTTCTTTGACGTTGCCATTCATGTACATAGGTGAAAAAAATATAATGTTGTTTGTAATGTGTTCAGCAGCAAACAGATGGTAAAGTGATATTTATGTATTCAAAACAACAGGTTGGTGACCATAATATAATAATATATAACGAACATTTAAAAAAGAAAACAAAGCAATATACAGGGATTAAAAGCAGCAAAGGGAAATACATTAATAAATAAACACATTTAATAAAAGCAAAATGTCAAAAATAAATAAAAAACACTGGTTAAAATAGATTATTAGTGCATTCTGATTATTAGTTTTGCACTGAGCAGATGGTTTTGAAATAGTACAGCAGAAACTATGAAAAGAAACTCAAAGATGGAATATTTTATTGTATATAAACATATTTACAAAATTCCAAATGCCTACTCACTGGCAGAAACAACCAGTGCTTACTGCCTGTTTTGTTTCTTTTTATGCTGAATGTGAGTTTCCAGCGTGCTAAGCCTGGGCTGTTGTCTCATTCATTCAACATGATTATCCTGCAGCCCCTGGGCTCAGTCTGTATATAGACATGGAGCCAGTAAACCTGCTGTTGCAGCACATTTAAAGCAGCGTAGATTGACAGTAACCTGTCATGCAGCTCACTGTGAGGGGACAGGGAGACAAGTGTGTGTATTTACAGTAAATCCCTGAACTTGAAAAAAAACCCTCAGTAAATTATAGAGTAATCATTTAAATAAGCAGGTATTTTCGTATCTTCTGCTAATGCTATAAAGTCGGGAATATTAGCCTATAAATGGTGGCTCAATAACTCGTGTTCGTCAAGATATTGAGCAGTGACTAAATATAACTCGGTACTATAAATAATGAATTTTGTTTAGAATTCATAAAATAATTCTACAATAATATTTACGACACGCAGTATTTTTAACCAGGCTGTTAAGCAAATAAAGTCACTGTTACGCCCGTTTCCGGTTGTGTATAAGTTACATACAGAATAAACTATATCTCTTTGGTCACAGACCAACCAACGTCAAATGTTTTACGCGGATGATTTATATAACGTATTTAACGTATATTTACTTTTTTCTTACGTGGTTCGCCGTCTGTGACATTCCAGAAACTTCCATGTGCACTCACTCCATGCATTTGGCCAGACTTAGACAAACAAACTAAAACAACAGGCATGACTGTAAAAAAAACAAAATCCACGAAAGCACAATATTGTATTCTTTAAAGAAGGTACGGCTTTGAACAAACTTTTTTTTTTTGAATAAACAGAGCGGTTGGCCTTAAACGGAAGATAATTGAAAATAACCAGTGACGCTTTGACTCAACCTCCGCTCAAGCCGAACATAAAACAATGCCAGGTGGACTTAGCAGGTGGAATTAGCACAATGCGGCTAATTGCTAGTTGTATTGTGCTATTTTTAATCATGTCCACAAGATGGCGCTGTTGTAACAGCTTAATGTTTTAACAGACAACACGGATTTGTTTTTTTCTTTGTAGTGGGTGATCTGGGGTCAAAGAAATGGAAGTGGGGTGGGGGGTACGTCTGACCAGTCTATGTGTTGTTCCTGTTCCTTATTTATGCGTGTTTGCTTTTTGAAAACGACCACAGGTGATCTCTTCCAGTTGATAATAAATCTTAACAACAAACACTGGCAGTAGATTATCTTATCGTCTTGGACAGCTTCTTCCAGTATTTGGAAACTCACTGCAACATGGTAATAAAAACTGATAATATGTTGTCAGTTTCATGTCATTGTTTCCTGATTGTTTCTTTATGAATTTATGTTTTCTTCTTCTACTCATAGTGCTGAATTTCAGAAATAAAGAAATAAAAAAAAATAGATACAACTATATTCCACTTTAATATTTTTTATTTTTCAAAATGAATTGTCATTTATTAGACACCTTGATGATTTCTTTTATTTATTTTACACTTTTTAACCATTTTAACTTGAGACAGTAGACAAACATGCCTCAAAACAGCTCTTGTACTCACCAACCACAATTAAAGTATGCACAAGTACAAGATTGTGCTCTACCAAGGTGGAGCAGTGACATCATCATTTCTGTAAATGAAAACTTAGCTACGCCCTCAGTTATGACCCTGCTGTCCAAAGGCCAAGGCAGCTGAGAGGTTTAACGGATCTGTATAACAGAGGACAGTGTCCTGGCGTCTTACAGATACTGTAGTTCCTGTGTGTGGATGGAGCTGAGGCTGAAGACATGTCTGCACAGATTCTGTTAGCGTTGCTGGCTCTGTCCTGCTGCGTCTCTGCTCAAGTGGAGAACCAGGCCAGGGAGTTTTTGGAGAAGTTCGACGAAGAAGCCAGTGCCCTCATGTATAACTATTCTCTGGCATCATGGGCTTACAACACCAACATCACCAAGGAGAACTCGGAAATATTGGTAAGAACTAACAAGTAAGGAAGCAGCAAAAGTCTCCAGACCTTCATAACCTAGCATAAATACTTGGACATTTTTTTAATTCTTTGCAGGCAAAAGAAGGACAGATTTGGAGCGAATTCTACACCCAAAAATCAGAAGAGTCTCTAAAGTTTTCCATTGAACAGATCAAAGATCCAGAAATCAAATTACAGCTCATTTCCCTTCAAGACAAAGGCTCTGGTGCTTTACCGAGTGATAAGGCCGAACATGTAGGAACGACGCTTCTTGGTTAAAATACTTTCTGTTGTGCTTGTCTTGGATCGTATAGGTATATTTTCTCCAATGTGCGCCAACCCATTGTGACGTTCCTCTGAATTCTCCTTTCAGTTGAATAAAGTCTTGAGCGAAATGAGCACAATCTACAGCACAGCAACAGTGTGTCTGCCCGACGACCCCTTTAACTGCCAGACTTTGGAGCCAGGTACAATTTATTAACTACACAGTTTATAGCAAAGCAGATACTGTAGCTACCTGCTACTGTCAGTCAGAGGGAGATGAATCAGTTATTATATTATAATACATCTATACATTCTTTAACATTAGATCAAATAGTATATAACAAAAAATGTTATATTGTGACATATGACAATAAATTAGTGGATAAAGGTTAATTAATTAAATTAATTAAATTAATTAAATTAATTAAATTAATTAAATTAATTAAATATGTATATAAATTAAATATTTGTAAATATATTTTTGTAAATGTATGATATATTCCCATGATGGAATTCTGTCAGTGCTCTTGCCGTACAGCAGGTGTGTGTACAAGGCACAGGGTTGTTGTCATAAACAAACCTACCGCTTAGAAAATAGAATTTTCCTTAAGTGTTTGTGTTGATCTGTTTTGCCATCAATTTGGCAGATTTTACAATGCAGTGTATGCAGCCGACATGTATATCTTCAAATCTCGTCTTGACTCTGGACTCTGCCTGTGTTTACACACAGGTCTGGAGCATGTGATGTTCAACAGCGTAAACTACGAAGAGCGCCTGCACGTGTGGGAAGGCTGGAGGAAGGAAGTGGGGAGGAGAATGAGGCCTCTGTATGAGGACTACGCCGATCTGAAGAACGAAGCTGCCAAACTCAATAGTGAGCATTCGAAATGATAAAATACAAAATCTGGAGTTAGCGAAAATAAGTAATAACTACCGACACACTAATGGTAAAATAAGTAAACAGCCTTAACTGAACTGTGTTTCTCCAACTCACTATAACCAGAGTTTAAAGACTATGGAGACTACTGGAGGTCCAACTATGAAACCGTTGAGGAGGTTGATAAGTACAAATACACCGGAGACCAGCTCATGGAAGATGTCCGTTCAATATACAAAGAGGTTAAGACCGTTTACTTGCTTTTCCGACCGAGTCTAGTGACAAAATCTCTTCACATTCAGGTTATGAATACACAGCATACCGTTGTGGTAATGTGTAAACGTGTCATTGTTTGTTTGTTTTACAGATCCTGCCTCTGTATAAGGAGCTTCATGCCTATGTGAGGGCCAGTCTGATGAAGGTCTACCCGGGCCACATTGATCCGAAAGGACCCCTGCCAGCTCACCTGCTGGGTATGATGAGAGTTTTCTCTGATCCACTACGACTACTAAATCAGAGTGATGAAGTGACAAAGTTATTGAAAGAGCCATCGCAGTGAAAGCGGTGTTAGTGTGTGTCTGCCTTGTAAGGAAATAATGTTTCTTGGTGGTTTATGCATGTTTATGTGTGCGTGACTTTTCTTCAGGTACTACCCCACCATGTGTGCGTGACTTTTCTTCAGGTACTTGCACTTACGTGGTGTAAAATCAGCTCTCGGTGTGCTGACTCAATGACGATTGTTGGAAATGTTTCAGGGAAACATCCATAATTTGTTATCGTATTGAATTTTTTAGGCGACATGTGGGGGCGATTCTGGACAAACCTGTACCGTCACAGTATCCCATATCCAGAAAAAACAGATATTGATGTCAGCAACACCATGGTGGCGAAGGTGCCAACTCATTGTTTGCCATTTAATAGGAATATACACTGTATTAAAGTTTCCTCACTAAAGCAGAAATCAAATGTACAAACTAATTTTTTTTTTTTTTAGGGCTGGACCGAGACTCGACTCTTTAAAGAAGCAGAGAAGTTTTTCATGTCCGTAGGTATGGAGAAGATGTTTGACAACTTTTGGAATAACTCTATGCTGACGAAGCCTGATGATGGACGTCAGGTGGTGTGTCATCCCACTGCGTGGGATATGGGGAACAGAATGGACTACAGGTATGTGGATTATTACAGAGAAATAATAATCTTGGAATTGCTCAACGCACTTCGCTTCTAACCACCTGCAGTCCTTAAAGCTTGAGGCAGTTACCGCCTATATCAAGTTTTAGATGATTCGAATAAATCATATAGACAATGTGAAAATGGAGTTCAGTTTTAAGTGCAAAATGCTTTCCCGAATGTTTTTTTCTTAATTTTTGTTCTGTATTTTTAATTAAAAATATTATTAAATATCTGATTAAAATATTACAAATTATGATATATAGGTATATATATAAAACAACATGATATTCCAGTCAATCACAAACTCACAATTATTATTTTTTTTAATTGGCTACCCCCCAATCCCGTGATCATAAAACAGCATTTTTGTAGATTTAAAAAGCTGACATTCATCCATAACATTAACTTTTGTCAAACAAACAAGCAACAAAAACCAAAGACCAGAATGACTCGGTGATCCTGACATCAAGGCTGAAATAAAGTGCGAAGCTGAGTGACTAAGCGCGTTGACCTTATCTTGAGTCTTAAAACAATCGGGTGATAATTTGTTTGGATGTGTTTACCTTCTGTATTGACAAGAATAATCTCTGTTGTAAATCAGGACCTGACAGCTGCAATAGAGTTAGCTGGAACAGCGGTGTGGAATAATGTCAGAGTTCTCCTTCGCTCCTCGTAAAAGTTACTAAATGAATACCTAATGTTGTCAAACATTAATCCTTACACTAGGCATAAACTTTGTACCAGGTTTGAGTTACACTTTGATGCTTCTAAATGTTTCCTTTCTTTTCTGTAATGTCTGCTCGAGTGTCCCAGATTAGTCTTAAAAGGCTTGAACTCATCATCAATGCTGTTATATTGCTGTATCTGCTGTACTTACTAATCAATGATATTATATTGCTGTATCTGCTGTACTTACTGGCTCGTGCGTTGGTGTGTCTGCTTCGTCAGAAACGCCGAGTCATGCTTTTATTGGTGCGGTCCATCAGATACCATATCTGAGCATGTTTCGTGTGACACAATGAAACCGCTGACAACAATACTTCTCGTGCGATATCAGGATCAAAATGTGCACCAAGGTCAACATGGAGGACTTCCTCACGGTGCACCATGAGATGGGACACAACCAGTACCAGATGGCTTATCGCAACCTGTCCTACCTCCTGAGGGACGGAGCCAACGAGGGCTTTCACGAGGCTGTGGGCGAAATCATGTCCCTCTCTGCTGCGACACCCAAACACCTCCAGAGTCTGGAACTTTTGCCCGCCGACTTCATATATGATAACGGTAACAGACCCTCTCCACTAAGCCCCCAAAAACTAGAAATGCTGAGACTTTACCGACTTAAGTGACCTCAATACTCATAATACAATACCATAAAATAAAATTACACCCATATTCATTCTGAAACGCAGAGATACTCTGCGTGGACTTGTGTGGACTCGAGTCGCATGACTTGGACTTGAGTCATCAATTTGATGACTTTAGACTCGACTTGACAAAATGTAAAGAGACTTGCAACTCGACTTTAACATCAAGGACTCGGGCCTTCACTTGGACTTGAGCCCTTTGACTCGATAAGACTTGATACTTTCTCCAAATCCCAAAATTATAAAGTAAGTCATTAAGGAGTGCTCTGTGTGTATGTGCTGTCGACCCAACATCCAATCAAATTAAACCCACGTTGTTTGACACGATAGCACCGAGCCAATCAAATTGCGGGACAACTGATGAGGAAGAGCTGTCAAACAACGCGCGGGTGAGAGAAAATGTTACCAATGATCGTGTTGTTCAGATTTAAAAACTACGAGAGGGTCAACAAAAAACGAGTGGCAGTGAGTGGACTTGGGACTTGACTCGACGCTTTTCAGTCTTGACTTGGACTCGACTCGGACTTTGCCTGTCTGGACTTGAGACTTGACTCGGACTTGAGTGCAAAGACTTGAGACCTGCAAA